AGTACCCCCGAGGCTGCGCATCTTCCTCGACAACAAGAGGCAGATCGACCAACACAACGCCGGCAACCACAGCTTCCAGAGTAGGAGCCGCTTCCCCAGCATCCCTCCCCACCCTCCCCCGGCCCGCTCTGGCTTTGGGGTGCGATCCTCGGCGAGCGAAAACGTTCCCGTTTCCTCCTTCTTCCAGTGGGTCTGAACCAGTTCTCAGATCTGACCTTCACTGAATTTAAAAAGTTGTACCTGTGGAGAGAGCCCCAGGTAGGTCACGGGAGCACGCCGAGGGGGTCCCCGAGCCCTGGGGGGTCTCTGTGCCATGCTGCACCCGCATGTGGGTCAGCACCCCATCGCTGTGCTGCCCAAAATCCACTTTGCTAAGTGCAGCACGCTGTCCTGCTGGAGCCTTGGTAAGAGCGGGGTGAACCCCCCATCCCCTACCTTCCCCGCTTTTAGCTGCCTCGGCTCTTCACCCCCTGGCTCTAGCCGAATTGTCGCTTCTGCTTTCAGCTTTGCAGGTTGATCTGTGTTTTTATGGGTAGACCTAAGGCCTGATCCCGGCTCTTCGGGGCGTTAGGAGCTCCCTGAGCAGCTCGGGCAGTGCTGCCGGGGGTGTGGGTTGGCAGTGCTCTTCTAGGGCCAGCGTGCAGCACCCTGGGTCCGCACAAGCAGTGTGGCAGTCACCGCTCCTGCCACCCCCGGGAGAGCAGCCCTCTGTGGGCCACTGTCCCCAGGCACGGGGGCTTGCTGCAGCCCTCCTGCCTCACTTGCAGAACTGCTCAGCCACAAAGGGGAACTTCCTGCGCAGCTCTGGGCTGCATCCAGACTCCATCGACTGGAGGAAGAAGGGGAATTACGTGACGCCCGTGAAAAACCAGGTGAGGGGAGCGTGTGTCACTGGTGACGCACCAAGAGTGGGCTGGGAGAGGGGCTAACCGCTGCAGGCAGGGCCCTGTGCCGGGAGGAGTGCTGGGGTGTGCGTGCCCACAGGGAAGGTGCCACCCAGCGAGGGTGGCCGGGGGGCTGGGGACAGGGGAGGCTGTGGGCCCTTGGGCAGGGGACAAGCAGAAGGTGAAGCCTGTCTGCAGGCAGGGAGTGAAAGTGCTGTGCTCCTGGCATGCCCTTCTGCCCCGGCCCTGGTGTTTTGGGGAGTCCGGTGACCCCACAGCACGTGATGGACCAGCTCCTCTCCGGTTCCTAACGCAGGGCCCCTGCGGGAGCTGCTGGACCTTTTCCACCACGGGCTGTTTGGAGTCTGCTATTGCTATTGCGACAGGAAAGCTCCTCTCTCTGGTAAGAGATTTTCCTTTGCTATGCACTGACATCAGTCCTGCCTCTGGTTATCCTCCAGGGCTGCCAGCAGGGCCAGCCCACCCCTGTGTGGGACAGTCGCCGGCTGCTTGTTCCGAGTCTGGCTGTACGTGGCTGCGTGCGGCGGTGGCAGGCACCCCCGCCCTGCAGACCCCTTGCTGCTCTTGGGAAGCCGAGCAGAGCTGCTGGGGGAGGCGCAGGGCAGCGTGGCCGGGAGCTCTCTGTGCCTGTTGCCATCCCCTCTCGGGGGCCGGGTGTCCCGCTGCCCCGCGCTTGGGCAGAGCCCTTCTCGGAGCAGGACGAAACCAGAGGGGCCGGAGTCCGACGGGTCCCCGCCGCTGGGAGCAGGCGCGGTTGGGTAGAGCCATGTCTGGTGCCGCCGGCAGGAGCTCCTTGCTGCAGAACAGCTTGCTGCAAGCTGCACATTGTGAGACTGTTTATGTTTAAACTCCCAGAGGATTTATATTCTCGAAGAACCAGAAAGACAGTAGCCACTTATATGACTTACCAGAATAGCTGAGGGTTGGGTGTAAGTGTTAAAAACAAACTTGACCTTTGAAAGAGATCTCCGCCGGTGCTCCTGCAGGGGGGACGGTGTCCTGGCAGGCACGAGGAGGAATGTCTCTTGCAGCCCAAGCATCCTGCCCTGCTGGCTCCACGTCTTCCTCGTCCCACCCCTCGGGACATGGAGCCCTTCAGCCGGGTGGTTCTTGACCGCAGCGGGTGAAGGGGCAGCTGCACGGGTGAAAGCAGCGCCCTTTGGTTGCCTGCTGCGCGGGCTGCGTTCTGTCTCGCTTATTCCGAATGCAGGTGTTGAACATAGGCTGACTCAAAAAACTTTTCTGTAGGCGGAACAACAGTTAGTTGATTGCGCCCAGGCTTTTAACAACCATGGCTGCAGCGGGTAAGTAATAAAGTAATACATAAATAAGCAATAAAGTAAATAAATAAATAAGTAATAAAGTAATAAAGACTAGAAATAAGAGTACCTATGTTCCGTGATTGACAGCCTTCCTCAAGATCTAGTGTCAGGGTCCTCCCAGACCTTGGAATGCGTTTTGTTTCCCCTAGGCTAAGACATGTCAGGGAAAACCATTATGGCTTTGCTTTGGTTTTCTTTGCTTCTTTTAATTTCGCTCTCCCTCGAGGTGAGAATGTTTCACTAAATCTCCAGCATTTCCTAACCTCTGTTGTTCCTCTTGTTTATTAGTTTTTCATCTGATATTTGTTTTGTTACAGTGTCTTCTGATACCACAGTCACGGGTGCCGTGTAGCTAGGCTTTAACATGTTCAGGGAAAACAAGGGGAGTTTTATCTGTTGCTCTGTTTATGGGTCACGCGCATCTCATGTGCTTTAAGGAACCCACAGAAACCTCTGCTTCCCCTTTTTGGTAAATTCCTACTGGCATTGCTAGAGAAGGTAGAAAATAAAGCTTTCTGAAACCTTATGTTTTCTACAAGATAAGCGGTCCCCAAGGCATGTTCAGAGAGCTGAGCAAAACCGCTCCTGGTGCTTTTTATTTTTCTCGTGACTCCTCCTTAGTCCTCTCCTTGTGAGCACGCCCCGATCACACCTTCCTCTTCCTCCTTCTGCGAGATGCGCTCCCCGAAGGTGGCCGGGGAAGGAAGCAGCTGCTTGCTGAAGACGTGGGTCCCTTGTCCTCCCCTGTGCTGTGTGGCTGGGGACCCCGGCCAGTCTGGGCAGAGGTCACAGAAAACCACCTTTCAGGGTGCGAGGCTGCGGAGCGGAGCTGGCACGGTTGGCGCTGTGTGGGCGAGGTGGCGTTCTCCCCCAGGGATCAGGCGCCCCTGAGAACGAGCTCTTCCCGTGCCTGTGTGGGACCATGCCAGACGGCGTGATGGGCTGGGCCAGCAGTCCCACGCAGGGAGATGGTGCAGGAACAGACTGGAGTTTATGTCTTTAGAGGGTCTGTCTGTCCTTCCCTTTGCCCCCACTTTGCAGGAGCGGTCTGTAGGGCTGCAGGGGAAGGTTGATGGCTTTGCTCCGCAGAAGCTGCAGCATAACCCTCCTAACGAATCTGCGTTCTGGCTGTATTGTCTTGCAGGGGACTGCCAAGCCAAGCCTTTGAGTACATACTGTATAACAAAGGGCTCATGGGGGAGGACACCTACCCGTACCGGGCCAAGGTATTTCCAGCGCAGCTCAGTCACGTTTCTGCAGCGGCAGAACCTGAGCAGGCTCTAACACCGCTTCCTTTCTGTCTGCACAGAATGGCACCTGCAAGTTCCAGCCGGAGAAGGCTATTGCGTTTGTCAAGGATGTTATCAATATCACCCAGGTAAGGCCGCAAGGGTTGTGTTTCCGAACTTCCAGGGCTGTGCCAAGCCTGACCTGGAAGGTGCTCGGATGCCCTGAGGTGTGCCAGGCTCTGCAGCACAAGCTGCAGCCTGCTTGCTCCTCGGCATGGAGCGAGCCGCGGGCGCGCACCCTCCTCTCCTGCGCACCGCTGACGCCCTTCGCTGACGGTGGCACCAATGAAGTCCTGTAGCCAGAATACAGCACTGGGTCTCTGCCTGCTTTCCGCAGTGGGTGCACCTCCAGACTGTCAGCAAGTCTTGGTTCTTGTCTTGCAATGCAAGTGTCGTGGTTTGGGCACTTGTTTCCCTGTCCGCAAGCAGAAAGGCAGGGTTAGCCATCCCCACCGCGCTCCGACTGCAGGTCCGGGGATCCCGGCTGAGCCCAGCGTAATCAGGAGAGAAATGACCCTGGGATCCTCTCCTTGCAGTATGACGAGGATGGCATGGTAGAAGCTGTGGGGAAGCACAACCCGGTGAGCTTTGCGTTTGAGGTGACGAGTAACTTCATGCACTACAGAAAAGGAGTCTATTCAAAGTGAGTATTTCTGAACCTGGGGGGTGAGGGTGAGGGGAAGGTGTAGGGCTGGAATCACTCGCATCCCCGTTTCCCCTGCTTTGCAGCACTGTACGCAGAGACACTGGACTGCATTCTTGCATTTTCTTTTAAACAGAAAATAGAAAACATAAGTAAACTGAGCCTTGATATCCTGATTTCCCAGGGGGATGAGAGCGCAGCGTAGGGAAGAGGGAACAGTGTGCTTGCAGCCAATTTACTGCTAGGAACCAGTCCAACCCGAAGACCAGAATGTATTTGGAAGGAAGCTCAGCAAGTCAGTGAGCTCGGGAGATCCTCCTGCAGCCCTGCCGCAGAGCCGGGGAGGCCTGTCCCGGGGCTGATGTGCGTGTCTGTGTCTGAGCTGTGGGTGGTGCAGGGTCAGCCCAGGGGTTGCAGCTGAACACATCGGGGTTCCTTAGGGTAAGCCTTAACCAAAGGAAGTTTTCCGTGGGACTTGGGTGGCTTTCCCAGTGCTAGACCTCAGAGGGGAGGTGGTGAGCAGTGTAGCTGCGTTCACGCTGCCCTGCACCTGAGCTGGGACGTTTGCAGGTTGTGTTGTTAAGGCAGACCCCTGCCTCGCTCTTCTCTGCAGGGCAGGCAGGTCCCCGAGCACCTCGTGCCAATCGCAGTCGGTGCTTACCTGCCTGTCTGCGGCTAGACGTGTAAGAAAAGCAGCAGAGATGAAAAATTAGATTGAGACATGAAGTGACCTAGCAGAAGAAGGTCTCGAGTGCTGTGTCAGCTCTATAGCCGAGGCAAAGAGCTACTTAAAAGGATGATTATTATATTTTGGAAAGACTGCGGAAGCTAACTGCGGCAGGATAGATTTCTGTTAGGTAAGAAAGGGGAAAAGTGCATGTTTGGAGAGAACTAGAAAAATACTTTAGAGTAAAGAATCCTCAGTCACGTAGAACTGCAGGGAAAATTAAACTAAAACT